TGCAAATTGCATAACATTATGAAGGTGTGTTTTGTTGCTCTTTTTTACCTTTGGGCCGTCAATCATAATCAAAACAATGACAGGAAAAATGAACAAATGAAAGTTAGGGTTACAGAATATGAAAATGCATGTAAGTAATTACCTGATTGGAGGAAATAAAAAACAAAGACCGATAGCAAAGGCATGACCTTAACAACTCCTACAAAGAAGCCAAATCAAACCGGTTAGAAAACAAATGAGTAAATGTGTGTATTTTTAAGAGAAAGAGAAAGAAATCATGATAAGATCTAGCGGGAGTAAAGCTAGTGGTGAATAGTTTGGTTGTACACGAAAATGTCATCCCAACTCTTCTCCTCAACTGAAAAACACACAAAAAAACATTCTTAGTTCTAAAAACACACAAAGATCTAACACTTCACCATATAAAGCAATACTTAATCACAATATGATTAATGGTTTTATTTAACATAATATTTGATAATTTCATAAGAAAATTACTCAATTTTGCTTATTTGCAATCATACACAGAAGTGACAGAACCCATTTATATAAACTCTAGGAAAGATCTTTAAACATTGTTCAACATTACCATATCATATACTCTAGTTCTCTTTGCAAAAACAAATGAAGAACCACTTTGTTCCACTGGTATGCATCTGCAGGAAAAATCAAGTTGCTTTTCAATAGAACATGGTATGGATCTTTACTTTCTATTCCTCAACTATCCATAAGCCCCACTTCCCTGAATGTCAAGATGTCAAAAAAATTCACTGCAACCAATAACAAATGCCATGTACATGCAAACAAAAATTAATAAAAATATATTTCAAAAACAGAAAAAATGGTTTTACCAAACTAAACTGAAACAAAAAAAAATGGTTTTACCCTGCTGTCATTGATCCACACCTTGATTCCATTAGTCTCGGAGATAAATTTAATAGAACTTCGTTCATGGTAGTTCATCCATATCCAACACATCAAGCAGAAAGCAGGTGATGCATGACATAAACATAAACCATATGACTTTTTTTTGAAATATGGTGTCACAAACTAAATATCCACTAATAACAAAGAAAGATAAAGATGGAAATTAGCTATCTTGCTCTAACAATTCATGCAATCTAGTGATGTAAATAAGGAGAAAAATGAATTTTCAAAACTTGAGGTCAAGAGCTTCATCAGTTCATCAGATGTAACTCAAGCTCTCCCTAAGTACAAACATCAACAACTTTATTGGTTTTGGCAATCTAGATGTTGACACCACTGTAATGATAAAGTTAAAATAAAAATCAAATAATTTATTTGGAAACAATATAGAAAATTTTGCACCTTCAAAATTTTCCTAGAAGCAATTGCATTATTTATATCGTAACTTCAGTTAGGGAAATCACACAACCGAGGAGCAAATATATCAAAATAAAATACCAAAACTTGGATTATTTACCTTCAGAAGTGAAGGACTCAATAATATCCATGAATATATATAGCTATCAAAATGACCAGCTTGTGTCCCATACCTTCAGTGGTGCGATTCAGATCTAAAGTGCTTTACCTGCACAGACTTGTAATGGAGCCATGGATTCTTCTTTATCTACATCCTTCAATGAAGTGAACATCTTCAACTTATTTTTTTTCTTCTCCTTTTTCTTATGTATTTGCCCACTTGGATAATAAACTACATAACTTCAGAAAGTACAAGAATGAAAGAAAGAGATAGTGAGGTTGTCGATAAGAAGAAACTGATGAAGGAACGCAACAATCAGACACAGGAGAAATTAATCAGAAAAAAATTACGAAACTCGTTATTCAGAAAAAAAACACGCAGGAAAAAGAGAAATCAATACCTAATCGGATGCATGAGAAATCCATAAAGTATGTGCCCACAATTCGTTCTTGAGTTCAAAGATTTGAAAGACGCATATTTAGGCTTCTTTGGGATGAAGCATTGAATGAATTGAACAAATTAAATTCAATCGATACTCTTATATAGGCATGAGCAACCGACTGTGAATGTGGGGGAGGAGGAAACGTGCGGACGACCAGAAGAAGGAAGGGAACTCTGATTAACCGTAAATGCTGAGTTATTCCGGCTGAGATTGAATGAGGAGAGAGTTTGAAGGGCTGAGATTTGTTGGACGGTTTTCCACTCACTGTCAACAATAGTATAAAGAATATATAAACTGTAATTTGTATGTAAGATGCTTACAAAATTTATGTTATTGCTATTAATTATTATCAGTAAAAAGGTAAGTGTGTTATGTAAAAAATAAAGTATATTGTGTAAGTTTCATGCTATAAGTATGTTGTTATCGTGGTGAAGAAATATAAATATATTGCTTTTTCCTATTTATTCATTACTCCGATGTTAATGTGGTTATTTATCCCTTTTTAATTCTTTTGTCAACCAACAAAGGTAGAAGTGATATTATATTATTATGATTGAATAACATATTCTTTTATCTTGTAGGTTCTTGAACCAAATTGACATGTTATGTATAATAAACTTGAAAATGCAAAGAGCATAGATGAGGTATATGTTGATTTTGATTCCTCTCAACTCTTGGGTTAAAATGCAAGAAATAGCAATGTACTTAAGTTGATTTGTTTATATTGTGCTTTGAAAAATCTACCCAGTTATAGTAATGTCATCCAAATACAAAGCAATTTTCACTTCTTTAGTTTGGTAAGTTGTTAGAAAATATAATGTTCTATTAATAAGAAAAAATGATACTACAATGCTTGTAAAAGAAAATTAAAGTACATTGCTATATTTCACAAATAAGTTAAAGTGCGTTGTTATCATTTTCCTTGTGTGTGCTTCTAATTTTTGTACTTAAATAGGTAACTCAATATCATTACTTTTTCATGGAGAAGTGTCTCAAGGAATGTTCACTTCTTTCTCCGATCCTCATTTATAAAAATGGACTCTCTGTTGTACCAGTAGAAACGAGAATAATAATAATGATATTGGTTATTCGATAAATAAGATCAAATCAGTAGCTCTACTAATCATAATTAACACTTGAATAATTCTAAAGTAGATGTCAATTGTTTATATAATTTACAGACAAAACTATAAATTTGGTCCTTGTGGTTTGCAAAAACCTTTGGATAGGGTCCAAAAAGTTTCCGGCTTGCACCGAAGGTCCAAAATCAAAGTTTTTCATTGTTTTTGGTCCAAAAAAACTTGAAAAGTCGATTTTACCCTTTTTAATTTCTTTTTTCTATTTTCTTTATTGTTTTTGGTATTTAAATAATTAAAAAAAATAAAAAATAAAATCTTACCCAACACACATACTCTCTCTCTCTCTCTCTCTCTCTCTCTCTCTCTCTCTCTCTCTCTCTCTCTCTCTCTCTCTCTCTCTCTCTCTCTCTCTCTCTCTCTCTCTCTCTCTCTCTCTCTCTCTCTCTCTCTCTCTCTCTCTCTCTCTCTCTCTCTCTCTCTCTCTCTCTCTCTCTCTCTCTCTCTCTCTCTCTCTCTCTCTCTCTCTCTCTCTCTCTCTCTCTCTCTCCTCTCTCTCTCTCCTCTCTCTCTCCTCTCTCTCTCTCTCTCTCTCTCTCTCTCTCTCTCTCTCTCTCTCTCTCTCTCTCTCTCTCTCTCTCTCTCTCTCTCTACCTAACCTAACCTAACCCAGGTTTATTCTTATTCATCTTCCACAAATCCATCGACATACCCCTCCCTTTGATCATCATCTTGTTAATCGAACCCACTACTGGTCCTATAAACACACAATGAAACTCCCTTCTCTCTTAACTGAAGAACATAAAAATTGACCAGATTAAAAAAAAAAAAACAATCAAGGAACTCTTCCTGTTTCTTTCCTTCTTCTGTCCCGATTTTCGGCAGAAGCACCTCCGTCGGAGGTGTTTTCTTGTGCGTTCCCGGTGAGCAAGGGAGCTACAAACCCCCTTCGTTCTCCCTTCACCTTTTCATTGTTCCTACCAAATCAAAAAGAAGATGAAGCAAGGAATTAACGGAGCAAAAAGGCCCTCGCATACCTCCTGTTGGACATCGAACAACCAAAGTCATTACCATTGCTGCTTGTCTCGCCCTATCGAAGACCTCCGTCCTTTCGCAGCCTCTTGGCCGTCGACCCAGGAGATAATCCTTCTCACGACCGATCAACGAATAATCGCGCCCTACGAGCCATCATGCTTCCCTTTTATTCGTTCGTCTGCTTCGTTCGCAGCTTCGTATCCGTCTCTCTTTTGCCCGATCAGTCAAAGTGACGAGGGAAAAAGCCCTAAATTCGTTCGTCTGCTTCGAGATGGGAAGTTCTTCAGTTGAGAGAGAGAAAGAGAGAGAGAGAGAGAGAGAGAGAGAGAGAGTGTTGGGTAAGATTTTATTTTTTATTTTTTTTAATTATTTAAATACCAAAAACAATAAAGAAAATAGAAAAAAGAAATAGAAAAGGGTAAAATCGACTTTTCAAGTTTTTTTGGACCAAAAACAATGAAAAACCTTGATTTTGGACCTTCGGTGCAAGCCAGAAACTTTTTGGACCCTATCCAAAGGTTTTTGCAAACCACAAGGACCAAATTTGTAGTTTTGTCTAATTTACATGTTGAAAGTATGTCAGCCTTCTCTTGTTGAAATTGTATTTTCAAAGTAATTTCTCATTCATTGAAAATTTCAAGAAAAAATTTACATACTAGTTTGCATGTAGCACCCTCTTCTAATCTAGAAGAAAAAACAAACACACTGTTCTTGTTCAAGACTTGTAATCATGAAGATAAATCGACAAAAAAACTCAAATTCTTGAAATTCGTATTTTTAAAAAAAATAATAATTAAAATGGCAAAAACAACATAACTTATCCAAAAAAAGCTGCATTCTGTCGACTTCTAATTTTTCTAAATTTCAATTTCGCAAGTATAATCATGGTTTGTCAACAATAATATACTTTTCTAAGGATTGGTCTCCTTATAGACCTGTTTGTATACCTGATTTACATCTCACATGATATTGTTGATCACAACAGTGTGTTGTTGCTTTCTTCTCACCAGTAATTGCCACAAGAACATTTCCCATTCCTGAAATGATGAAACCTCTTCCCATCTCTCACAACAATGTCTCTCTCCACAACTTGCGACATGAACTCAAACGCGTTATGACAATCCCCACAAATCCTCAAGTTCTTGAAAACCCTAATCATAGCTCCTGAAGGAAGCTTCAAAAGCCCAAAAGCAACCGCAAGCTTTTCACTATGAGTAGACAATGCGTATTCCTTTTGCTCATTCTCCATATCATGTAACACAAACTTCGTATCTGGAACATATCCTAATTTCCTCATTTTAGAAACCAATTCCTCAAGGTACTCATACACCTTTTGAACCTCAGGGTGCTTAGTGTCATCCACCAAAAATACATGGACCATATTGTCAACTTCAATCCAACTACATGCAGGCTCTTTCTTCACTCCTCGAGACCTCATCAAATTCCGAACCTGTGCAGCATCGTTCCATTTTCCCGAGTTGGAGTACATGTTTGATAAAAGTATGTAGGTCCCATCATGATCCGGGATTAATTCAAAAAGTCTTTCTGCAGCCTCAACCCCTAACTCCATATTTCCATGGATTCTACACCCACCAAGTAGTGCTTCCCAAACCGGTGCACCGGGGTAGAATGGTAATTTTTCAATCACGTTTTTTGCTTCGGTGAATTTCCCGGCTCTACATAACAAATCAATCAAACGACCGTAATGATCTTCACCCGGGGTTATACCGTACGAATCTTTCATCGAGTTGAAATACCGTTGACCTTGGTCAATTAAACCCGAGTGGCTACAAGCAGAAAGAATCGTGAGGAATGTTATTCGGTCGGGAACTATGTCCTCTTTTAGCATTTCTTCAAAAAGCTCAATTGCCTGAGCACCATGCCCGTGCTGCCCGAAAGCTGCAATCATCGCGTTCCAAGACACCGAATCTAAACATGGCATTGTAAGGAATACAGACTGTGAATCTTGAAGGACCCCACATCGTGCGTACATTGTGATTAAAGAATTGGAAGCGGAAAGACTCGATTCAAACCCTGATTGGATAAGTTGAGCATGGAGTTGGCGTCCATGGTTTAATGACGCGATAGCTGCACATGATTTAATCGCGCCTGCTAATGAATAATCACATGGTTGACATTCGGTAGATTTCATTTGGTTGAAAAGCTTCAAACCCTCTTCTCCTGATCCGTTTTGGGCAAATCCTGATATCATCACACTCCATGTCACGTGGTTTTTTTCGGGCATTTTGGTAAATACCAATCGGGCTTCTTCGATTCGGCCTACATCAACGTAAGCAGATAGAATGTTGTTCCATGAAATAAGATCTCTTATTGGCATCCTATCGAAAATCTTTCTTGCATCATCTGTTTTACCACATTTCCAGTATAATGTAATCAACGCATTGTTGACACTATATAGAAAGTGGTGAGATGGGTTTATTACAGTTCTGATCATGTATGCATGTATTTGTTTTCCATGGAGAAACAATTTAGCATTGGCACAAGCACTAAGGATACTTGTATAAGTGAATGCATCAAACTTGATTCCTAAAAGATTCATCTTTTTTGACATTTCTAATGATTCAGAAACAAACCCTTTATGCATGTATCCGGAAATCATTGCATTCCATGCCACTACTTGCTTTTCATTGTTCATACCATCAAAGACTTGGCTTGCACCGTGTAAATCGTCATTTCTTATATACCCTGTGATTATTGTAGTCCATGATAACTCGTCTTTATGTGGCATTTCATCAAACAGTTTTTGTGCAGCATCCATTAATAAAGAAGGTGTTACGAAAGGTGAAGAAGAACACCTGATATAAAGAGAAATAAGAGAGTTAACAACCGATGTGACAAACCCGGTTCCAGACTTCACAATTTCAGAGTGTAGCTGCTGACAATGTAATTCGTGCTCAGCTATAAGAGACAACCCCGATAACATGCTTGTGTAGGTGTAGTTATCCGGCTGAAAATTGTTTCTTTTCATGTCACGAAAGAGCTCAATAGCAGCGTTACCATCATCATTATGAGCACAGGCTGTTATCATGGCATTGTAGCAAACTGTATCTCGAGTATTTAAAGGAGTGTTGTTAAATATTTCTCTTGCCAGCTTTAGATTTCCAGAAGCGGAATATGCAGTAATAAAGGTTGTTCTGGCAACAATATCTGGTTCTGCAATTTCATCGAATAGTTGGCGTGCGTATACAAGGTTAGATGATTTGCAATACAAATCCATCAAACGGTTGAGGATATGAGACCGCGGCCTGAACCCAGAAGCGATCATATGGGCATGAATCATTCGGACATTGGAATACGAGGTTGGGATTTGGTTGGAACATGATAGGAGCTGTGCAGCGTAAAAGTTGGCCAGAGCACGAACGGCGTCTGTTACGCGAACAGCCTGTTTAATGCCAAATCACGTAGTTATACACACAAAAATGGATAATAAGAAAAGAAAAAAAAGTAAATAGAAACAAGAAAAGCATGAGGGGAATTTGACAGATAGAAAAAGATGGTAGTTTGCGAACGAGAATCTACCTGTTCTTTGAGATTGGATGCCTGCTTTCTCGATGCATTCATTTCGTCAATTGCTACTGTAATATTGACGCCGGCAGATATTTTTTGCTCAAACCATGTTTTTCAGGGGCGGTACTTGAACATATACTTTGGGGGAGGGGGTATTAGACACTAAAAATAACGTTTTTACAAATAAACAAACTTAATTTCATCAATTAAACACCAAAATTACCATGATTGTATCTATAAAAATCAAAATGGAGGAAAAATTCATTCAAAATCAGCCCTCTATCTTAAATAAAATTTAGGACAATAAAAATCAAATATTAGATAAACAGATGTGAAATCCTAATTAGTTAATTTCCAAATTCCAACAACAAGCAAATAGAGAAACAATTCATATTACTCATCAATCAGTTCATTCTAGACAAACATTAACAATTTTCTGCAAAAATCCATTTAAATGAGTGTGAAATCATAATTAGTTATATACCAAATCCCAACAACAAGCAAAATAGTGAAAGGAGGAAACAAATTCAATACTCAATAGATTGGCTGCTAATTTCCAGCATAATTGGAAAAGAGAGAAGACATAACAGTCGAACAGGAGATCACTCAGGAGCATACCTGATTTTCTTCGGTTCTGTGAACAAGAAAGGACAGCAGAAGTGCTCAACAGCAGGTGGACGGTGGTGACCGGAGGAGCTGCGATGGACAGTGGTGACTAGCAGGCGTCCGACACTCCAATGCCGTATGAAGTTTTTTAACAATACGTTCACTTTGACTTTCTTTGAAGCAGAACCAAATCAGATTTTTTTTTTCTGATACTGTGGTGTCCTTAATCGACAGCTTGAAGAGCTAAACAAATCATCAACTAGAGTACTAGACAGCTAAGTCAAAAACAGAAACTAACTCAGGATACAGGATAGGAGAATTGAGATTTCTGATTTAAAAATTATAATTCCTAACTCTACTATTCCAATTTCAATAAGAGATGAATCCTAGAGATTGAGAGAACGGGAGAACAGGAGCATTACATACCTGATTTCCGGTGACCGGTGACAGCTGCTGCGGTGGTGAATGGCGAGACCAACGGGCAGCGACTGAGCGAGTTACGTAGGTAGCGACTAGCAACGAGGGGGAGGAAGAATCGATTTTGACTTGTCGCTTGGTTTGGAAATCGGACTGAAATCTGGAGGGGCCACAGCCCAATTTTGACACTAACACTAACAGGCCTATAATTAAAAATTTTGAAGATATATTTGCTATTTCTAACTCAAATATACATAAGCAATTTTGACACTAACACTAACAGGCCTATAATTAAAAATTTTGAAGATATATTTGCTATTTCTAACTCAAATATACATAAGCCCATGATGTTGCTGGATTGGGGGCATCCTAATTCCTGGTTGGCTGGCTCTACTCATTTGATAAACTTTTTTCACGTAGTAAGAGAATGGGAATATGATTTATTAAGGTAATTAACTTTTCGGTATGTTCGCATCTAGGTAACTATCTTTTTTTTGTACACATCTAGATAACAAACTTGTTGGAAGTGTTCACATATGACCATTATGACCTGCTATAGCAGGTCAAATCATAGATGTGAACGCTTTCCACAAGTTTATTACCTAGATGTGTAAAAAAAAAATAGTTACCCAAATATGAACAAAACAATAAGTAAAAATTAAATTACACGAATGGTCCCTGTGGTTTGGGGGAATTCTTTTTTTTGGTCTCTAACTTATTTTTTTAACTTGGATGGTCCATACTGTTTATTTTTGTTGCGCATTTGGTCATGTGTTACTTAAAAAGACTATTGTGCCCTTATTAATTTATTTTTTAATTAAATTTCTTATTTATGTATTTATTTTTTACATATTTAAAAAAATTAATAGACCACACATATTAGTGTGGTCTATTAATTTTTTTAAATATGTAAAAAATAAATACATAAATAAGAAAATTAATTAAAAAATAAATTAATAAGGGCATAATAGTCTTTTAGGTAAAGCAAAGATCAAACGTGCAACAAAAATAAACAGTAGACCATCCAAGTTAAAAAAATAAGTTAGGGACTAAAAATACAGATTCCCCCAAACCATAGGGACCATTCATATATTTTAATTTTTACTTTTCGTTTTGTTTATATTTGGGTAACGAACTTGTTGAAAGCGTTCACATCTAGAATTTAACCTACTATAGCAGGTCATAATGGTCATATGTGAACACTTCCAACAAATTTGTTACCTAGATGTGTACAAAAAAAAAAAAAAATAGTTACCCAGATGTAAATATACCGAAAAGTAAATTATCTTAATAGTCTTATTCCCTAAGAGAATAGAGGTGCACATTGTGAACCCTTAACTTTGAAAAAACAATAATTAACACCTAACTTAACTCGTCTCAGTTGAATCAGCTGCTGTGGTGTTTGGTTTGCTTTGGCAAAAAAATGTTTTGGGGAAGAGAATATTTGTAAAGATAGAAAGGGAGGTTGAAAATTCTAAATTCGTATGGAGAAAGTGTATATACTTTCTTGGTTTATTGTATGGGTATTTCACGTGATAAACTGGATAAAACACCAAATGAGATATCTTTTCAGAAGCTTCAGGTCTTTATCTATTTACCTTGTGTGTTATCTTTTGTGTTATCTTTACAAGCATAATAATAATAATAATAATAATAATAATAATAATAATATTTTGTGCAATTATTGTCATTACACTATTCTTTCCAATCAAACCATAAAAGTTAAGACTTTTTTCCAAATTAACCATTCTAATTCTCCAAATTAACCATTTTGACCTATTATATCGGGTCAAATTTGGAAATATGTCTGAAACTTTAATGGTTTGATTGGAAAAAAAATAAAATAGAAGTGGTTAAACCGCAAAATTGTCCAAAATATAATGTTGTTTCTGTAATTTGCTCTTATTTGTATTATCTACTTATGAACATATATCCCATATGTATAGTTAGGGATAAAAGTTATTCATGTATAAGAATTATCATTTCTCACTTTCTTTTTACCCATGAAGTTTCATCTGATAAAATAAATGACATTTGTAAACAGATGACGTATGGAAAAATGCTCAATCTCCTGACTTTCTTTCTGAATAAAGAGTTTGATGCTATAAATATAATGCACTGTGACATCTCCAAAATCACGGCCAGAAAAGACCGATTTTCATTTATGCTTTTAAAATAATTTCAGAGTAAATCCTTTTGATTTGAAAGAGTTGCGGAATTTGTTCCCAAAAACAAAACATGATAAAACAATGTTTATCAAAGCATTTCATAAAAGAAATGTATTTTTCATTATATAATCAAAACTCGGGGTGTCATGTTCCGATACAGACCAATAAGCATAAACGATAACATTACAAGTCATTCAACAAATATATACATATGCAGACTTGTAAACAAAACAACTTGATGGTTCATCCATCTTACGCCCTTGCACCACTTCCTGTAATATAAATAAAACTGAGAGGATCAGGCTTGGGAGCCTGGTGAGCATATAGGGTTTTCAACCCACAATAAATAAATTATATTTAATTTCACCAACCAATCACTATCCCGATTAGCCATTCCCGTTATCCTCACTTTACGTCCCTAAAACAACATCAATCTCAAGGAACCTATTCTAGGATTTTCATCGGGACGGACATTACTGCTAAGGGGTTTCCTCAACAATAGATATCCTAAAGGCAACCATGAGGGGGATAGAGTACACCGGTGAACACATCGTTCACAACGCCTACGGGTTATGAACCTGCTAGCGTTCCACGAGACTGTCTAGAAGGAGTTTGTGGTCGATATCCATACTCCGCTGAATAACTATGTCAACAACAACAACATCGAGGCCTCTCATCTATTTATTACACACCAACTATCTACCCATGTTCTACCCAACATATTAGTAGATAAAAATATATATTTTTATACATAGTTTAAAACCTGTATAGCATTTTCATCCAATACATATTTCACATAACAGATGAGGCATACTCACATAACACGTATTTCATAGAAAACAATTCAGATCTATTAGATTGAAAAGAGTGAATATACATTCACGCACAAAACACCAAAATTATACACATAACACGTATTTCGTATAAAATACTTCATAATTATGCGTTAGAAGAAATTAACTACACACTCACTTGATCAGAAGATGATCAGACAGCACTACGGCTTGTAGAAGTAGTAATCCTCAGCAGATCTGAAAGATCTCTACAAAAATCGAACTTCTCGCGGGCAGAGCTTCGGGTCGGGAATCGCACTTCTCGGGATCTTCGGGATCTCGGGACTTGCTTCGGCACTCGGGAATATTATCGGGGCTTCGGGGTATTTCTGGCACGCAAAACGATGCAAAACGGGAGAGAGAATGAAGAAAAATAGCAAAGGAGTCGGCTGCCCTCGCATCCTATTTATAGGAGGCTGATTGATGCCTCGCAGTACGCGAGGCGTACTGCCTCCGAAACGTCACTGCATGTGTCATCCGAAGTCCTCGAGTGCGAGTGTCGACACTCTTCGCTGTACGCGGGGCGTACTCCGGATGAGCCCGGTGACTCGCCTTCGGATAAGGCCGGATTTAATAATTAAATTTAATTATTAATTATTTAATAAGCTTCGGAAATTCATATCTTCTTCATACGAACTCCGTTTTCAATGTTCTTGATATCCACGTGAAGGTGAGACTACGCTCTACAACTTTCGTTTAGACTCCGTCGGCTAATTTTGACTTTATTTTTATTATTTATTTTTAATAGGCCGGGACAGAAAATTTCGTTATAAATTCATAACTTCTTCGTTTGACGTCCGTTCTCGCCTAACTTTTTATCGATTTGATACTAACAAAGAGATCTTCGATTCTCATTTAGATCACTAAGGCTAAATATCGCTCTAACGTAAATTTCACTTTTTACGTCATTCATCGGTGTCGGTTCTGTCGCAAAACTTCGACAGGTCATAACCTCTTCGTTATAACTCGGATTTCGGCATTCTTTATATCTTCGGAAACCTTGTTTCAACTACTATAACATTATCTAAAG